AGAGAGAGAGAGAGAGAGAGAGAGAGAGAGAGAGAGAGAGGTTTTCACTATATAGCTCTGGCTGTCCTAGAAATCACTAAGTACACTAAGTAGACCAGGCTGGCCTTAAACTCATAGAGATCCACCTGCTTCTGCATCCCAAGTGCTGGGATTAAAAGTGTACATCACTACTAATAGCCCTCTCCAAGACAACAGATGTGTTTTCAAAGAGAACAGAGGGGCTTTGCTGGTGTGAGCAGGAGCACAGTATGAGGAGCAGACTGAGACCCACCTGCCCCTTGGCCACCACATCTGGCTTGTGGAAACCACTGTGTAGGGGATCCCTCCCAGTGCATGGCTGAAATCCTGCAGCAACCCTGAGTGAACTGGCTGCCCCAGGAGAGCAAGGAGGCACTTCACATCCTCCTTTCCTCCGGGCAGGACCTGGACACCTTAACTGGTTGGCAGAGTTTTGCCAGCTAAAGCTCTTTGTTGTTAAAACTTCACTCTCACTGAGGTACAAAACAGCCCAGCAAAAGCTCACGGCTCCTCGGATTTATTTATTCATAAGATGACTCTGAATTGAAAACAGATCCTCCTAATAACAAATGGCCCTAGTCCCAGCATATCGCGAATAGCTTCCAAGCCCGTAGTTAATGATCACTTGGTTGTTGTTGCTTAGGTTTTTTGTTTTGCTTTTGTTTGTTCTAGGGGTTGTTTGTTTTTGTTGTTATTGTTGTACATTTTGGAGACAGGACGAAAAATAAATAAAACCAAGCATCAGTGTAATTCAGAGTTCCAGAGCAGAAATCAGGATAAGGACCTACTGTTGCCACGTATCCTAACAATGTAATTCCTAACTGTATTCTCTCTCTCTCTCTCTCTCTCTCTCTCTCTCTCTCTCTCTCTCTCTCTCTCTCTCCCTTCCTTCCTTCCTTTCTCCCTTTTTATTTATTTAAGTTTTTTTTGTGACATGATCTCACTGTGTAGCCCTGGATGGCTCTGAACTCCTAGATCTCCAGCTGCCTTTGCCTCCCAAGTGCTGGAATTAAACGTGTGGACTACCACATCTGCCCTAACTGTATTTTAAACCTTTATCCACCCACAGATAAGTGCGGCTCTCATCCCTCATCAAGGAAGCTTCTTTTTGCAGCACACAAAGACTGTGGCAGAGAGCCACCACTGGTCAAAATGACAAGGACAACTCACCAGGGGTGCCCAGTCTCACTTCACACATTCACAGCACAACCCTACATCTCAGGTTCAGGGAACCTCCTGGGGTTTCCGAAGAGGGTGCAGAAAGAGTGTGAGAGCCAGAGGACCAGGTGTCTGCTCCAAGATAGGGCTTTCTATCTACAACAAGGGAGCCGCACCCATGAAATCCTAACTAAGACCTACATAATGGCGCCACCAGTTGACATGCCCAAGTGGATGGGGAAATCTCACAAGGTCTCCCCTAGATAAAGAACTGTAGGTAACCAATGGCTGCTGGGAGAGGGAGGATTGCTTTATCCAATCCCAAGTGGTCAGCACTAAATACATATACAATCAAATAACACTAAATGGGCTCTGCAGAAATCAGGGTAGATGCGAGGTAAGACAGCATCTACCCTGGAGGCATGTGCTGCTGGGAAGAGGCTGTGGTTTCCAAGGGACCCATCAGAGTCACATGTGGCCTGGGATGGACAGAGAACAGACACCGACTGGAGCCAAGGGCAGAAGCATGTGGTTTTGCAGTTCCTACACTTCCCACTCTTGGAATTTCCCAGGAAGCCTCTGAGAAAATTCCACATGCAGTCAAGCACCCGGTCAGAGGATGCTGTGCACATGGAGTCCCACTGCTCTCTCCTCCCAGGCCTTCTAGAAGGGGCTCTTTCTCCCACAGAGTTAGGGTACTTACTGCAGAACTACCCTAGAGCACTGCCTGTCACCTGCCTGTCCCTTACATTCCTGCTGGATCTCTTTCCTGCCCACTGACACCTCCCAGAAGTCCAGAATCCCTGGAACAGTGTCCTGGGTCTACAGAGTGGTAAGACTTATTTCCCAAGGCCTTGCTATAACAATAGGTTGTTACTTTTCCATCACTCTAGGCATGTGACATCTTAGACACTGGACACTCGGGACACCTCAAGAGAAGTCAAAAGCTGCCTGTTTTCAATAAACAGCTCCAACTTGTTCCTGAGAGGCAGGAAGGGTAACAGGAGGGGAGGCAGGAAGGCTGGAGAGTTGGGCCACTAGTCACAAATTAGCAAGCAGACCAGCTCCTAATTATTATCAGCGAAACCGAAAACATTTCCTCTTTAGCTAGGATGCCTGTCGGGGTTTATTTGTTTGTGTGTTTTTGAGACGGGGTTTCTAAGGCCCAGGCAGATGGCCTGTCTGGGATTACAGTGTGAGCCACTGACCCTGGTCATGCAGTGGTAGATGTGAACACAGGGCTCTCGTGCGTCTAGAGAAGCACGTTACCACCTGAGCTGCATCCCTGGCTGGATGTTTCGTCTTTCTTAGGACACATGTTTTCACTCCTTCTGAGACAGGACATGCTAGAAACTGTTCTGTTGTTTGTTAAAGCTGGGAAAGATGGCTGAGCAGTCAGGAGCACTTGTTGCTCCTGTACAGGACCCAAGTTCAGACCCCAATGCTCACTCTATGGCTCACAACTGTGAGACTGTCACCCCAGTTTCAGGATCTAACACCGTCTTCTGGCCTCCCCAGGCCCCTGCATATGGTACACACACACACACACACACACACACACACACACACACACACACACACCAGCATGCCCACATGTAAAAATAAATTTAATTTTATTCCTATTTAAAAAAATAAAAATTAGTTTTCTGTCTGATTATGAAGAAGTTATGCAGCAAGAAGCCCTGAACCTTTTTTTTTTTTGACACACTTTGCTCCAACAGCTTTCAAGACTCTGATCTGACCTTATGTTGAGTTTTCTTCTGTGTTTTTATTAATATAGTGAGACCATGGCTTTCCCTTTTTATGGTTTGAAGTTGCTTTACTTGTTATAAATCATTGTATCAGCTGGGCGGTGGTGGCGCATGCCTTTAATCCCAGCACTCGGGAGGCAGAGCCAGGCGGTTATCTGTGAGTTCAAGGCTAGCCTGGTCTACAGAGTGAGTTCCAAGACAGGTACCAAAACTACACAGAGAAAGCCTGTCTTGGAAAAAACAAACAAAAACTAAAAATAAATAAATAAATCATCGTATCAAAATATCTAGTATTTTCTCAAATGAAGACAAACATCAGACAAATGAGAGACAAGAACTGATTAATTAAATTCTGCCTTTCCCTCAATTGTTGGCAGACACCGATATAAACAAAGCACCGAATGGCACCATACCAAATAATTTTATGGGGGTCGTTTGACTTCCGCCTGAAGACTTTCCACCTATGGAAAAAGGCCCATAGTCGCTGGCTGCTTATGACGCCTCAGAAAATAAATGGCTACCACGGGTAACATTGTGTTTTTTGTGTTTGAATGAAACCCACCAGTCCTGGACACTGTCTACATTTACTGGGTGATTCCTCCCTTGAAAAGATTAAATAAGGAACTGGAGAAAAGGGCTCTTCTCCCAAAACCCTGGCATGTTTCTCTGGCTCCTCTTCGCCTGTGCCTTTGTAAAGCCAGTATTGACCCGGCATCAGGTTAATTACATGGTCCTGTGTTTACACATGCTCTCCTGAAAGGCCAGTGTGAAGTTAGCAGGCTACACATCTCAGGGCATTGATCAGCCCTTTCAACTGAAACAGACTTTCCAAACACTGGTTCACACACATCCCTTGGAGACAGGCATATGATGTCAAATTCCTGCTTTGTCAAAGATGAAATAGAGACAGAGGGGCAGGTGGTGGTCCAGGGCCACACAGCAAGTGTGTTTGTTATAGAGTCCAAAAATACTTGTGGAGCTAGCCTCAGGTTCCCCTGCATCCAAGGTTAGCAGGTTATTGTCCTCTGGATAGCACACCCAGTAGGCTATCTTGCACGCTACATTGGTGCACATTTACAGGATGTAGCGCTGGCCAAGGGCTTTGGTTCTGCATTGGAACTACTAGAGAAGAGATGGAAGTTTCATGAGGGCAAGGAGTAAGATGTTTCCTGGCTGCTGTAGCCTAGCCCTACACCTGTGCCTGGGACTCAATACATACTAGATGAATGGCAAATACATCTTAGTGGAATTCTCTTCATCACTGGAACTCACAGCTGAGCCTTGCCTGGCTGACACCTTTGTGAGTCTTCAGCTCCTACACACCTCAGTGAGCAAGGGCATTGAAGAAGACTTTTGTGCCTGGGTGTGGTGGCATACCCCTTTAATTCCTGCACTTGGGAGGATGAGGCAGGAAGACTGCAAGTTTGAAGTTAGCCCAAGTGACACAGGGAAACTGTTCAAATCAATGAGTACAAGTGAAATTTAAAAACAAATAGGCTTGTGATTGCGTTTCTCCAAAGGCAACACAGACGACATGGCATCTAGAATGGTCTCTACGTTCTACACACAAGGCCTCACCAACACATGGAGGCCAGACACTTACTTAGTTCCTGCTCCCTCGGGTAGAATAAGCCT